ATACTGGGAGTGGGGTTGGGGGTGGGCAAACTGCACAATCACAAGAGCAGTGGCAGAGTTTCAGCTGCACCACACCAGCACCTTCAGAGGGGGAATTCAAGCCCGTGGAAGGGCCACTGCAACTCGGACTGCACGTTGTCCCCAGCTCTGTACTGACAAGGCCGTGGGAAGTTCATTTCCTCTCCTAATTCTCAGAATTTGAAACTAGCCATGGTTCATGAATAAGTATGTTAGAGAAGTTTTGGAGAACAGTGAAAGTTGAGGAGTGTATGTATTGATTCTGGGAAATTTAGGTTTAGAAATTTTCTTTTAAGAATCTTAATATTTGAAAGGCTACCTTGAGAAATTGTCAAATTCTGTTTTGTTGTGCGACACAGTACCAATTTTATTTATTTGTTCATTGAGTTTTTTCTCCCTTCTTCCCAGACACCACCTAATACCTATAAGTAATTTTTATATTAGGCTATATAGAAGGTAAGGGGAAGACCAGGATGATAAAATATAAGTAAAATATTGTAGGCTAGGTAGCTTCAGGCGACACAGGATTATAGGTAGGTGGGTTTGTCAAGCTTATTATTTATTTATTTATTTATTTTTGGATTTTTGGGTCACACCTGGCAATGTACAGGGGTTACTCCTGGCTCTGCACTCAGGGAATTACCCCTGGTGGTGCGCAGGGGACCATATGGGATGCTGGGAATCGAACCCAGGTTAGCCATGTGCAAGGCAAATGCCCTACCTGCTGTGCTATTGCTCCAGCCTCCAAGCTTATTTTTTATTGAAGTAAAATTTTGTATAGTAACATTTACAAATCTTAGTATATAGCTGGATCACTTTTCACTTATATACCTGGGTGACCACTACCTAAGTCCATAGAAATTTCCATCTCAGATGTTTGCTTGATACCTCTTTCAAACCATCAAGTGCCCCCCAATCTAGAAGTCACTATTTTTCTGTCACTGTATATTAGTTTTACAAACTTCACTCAACTGCTTTTGGAATACTATAGACCGGTATCCAATGAAATTAAACATACATCTACCCTCTGACCCAGCAATGCCATGTATAGTTACACACCCAAGAGAAATTAGTTGGTTTATTTTTTTTTAAAGCTTACATAAGAATAGCCACAACAGGGTCAGAGAGATAGTACAGTGGGTAGGGCACTTGCCTTGCATGTGGCTGATCCGAGTTTGATCCCCAGCATCTCATTTGGTCCACAAAGCCCTGCCAGGAATGACCTCTGAGTGCAAAGCATGGAATAAGCCCTGAGAACTGCCAGGTGTGATCTAAAAACAAATGGGCAACAACAAAAAAATGAATAACCATAACAGCTTTATTGCTAATAGCTCTTCATATAACAATTCAGATATCCAAAAACACATGAATAAATGTGTTGTGGTATGTCCATACAATGAAACACTACTTGAGAGATAATGAATGAAAATTATAAAACCTGGATGAATCTTAGAAACATCAAACTATATGAAAGACACTAGATCCAAGAGCACACATTTTTCGACTTTGTACCAACTCAGGACTAGAAAATTTAATGAAGACTTGCGTGGCAGTCTTGATTTTGTATGCCCAAGATGCTTAGGAAGGGTTTTTCCTCTTTCAGAAACCAACATGTATGAAATATAAGATGGCAAAGACATGAAAGGAAAATTACGAATGCCAGCAGTTCAGCTTTGCTTAAGCGAAATATTTATTTAGCATTCCATGTTTCTGCTATGAGTAATAGAATTACATGATGTCTGATTTCCTTTCCTTGTATTTCTTCTTTGGATTCTAATTCTTAAGGGGATTTTGTCATAATAATAGTAGCTACATGCTACTTACAAATGATAAAAAGGTACTGTATCATTGGATTCTGTTCATAAAAATTGGAATTATAATAACTTTGACTCTCTTCCTGAAGATAAAATTTAGGAATAAATTACAAGCAATATTGGAAAGCTGCTAACTTGCTCAAAGCTTTTGATATTGCTGTTTCATTACTGCTCTTACCTACTGTATCTCATTTACACTTTAAATATTTTCCTAATGATAAAAGCATAAAATCATAGACAGGCAAAGCCTGAGGCATAGAGAAACAGGTAGTACTCACCAAGGGACAAGAGTGGGTGGGGAGAGTTGCAATAGAAAAAACCTAAAAATAAAAATGTTTTTATTCTATATAAATCACAAGAAGCTTTGGGAATGTAGTAGAAACAAATGTTCTTATTTGTTTACATCCAGAAATAAATATTATTGATCATTAATATATATTGAACATTGCATATAATGATTTAAAACCACAATGAAGAGACAGAAATGAATTTTTTTAATAGGGAGAAAATGTTCTATAGTTGTTGAATTATTGAATTCTGTCCTATTTTTCTGGTGGTGCCTCTCCTGTCTTTGGACATTAGGAAGCATGGTTCTGGATTAAAATCACTTTTTGATAGGCATCTCAGATCTTCTGTTGTATCAACTCAATTATTTTTGTGCATTTTCAGTGGATGAGTGTATCCCTTTGCTTTAACCATCAAAACAGAATTAGATCTTTCCCATTTAGAAATCATTAACACGTTTTAGATATCAAGTAAGATTCTTTGTTGTGCTGACATCTTGAAATAATCGTGACCATTGCTTTTCAGTATTCAGCTTTTTTCTAAGACTTTTCATTAGTCCTCATTTTATAGATAGGTTTACATAAAAGGCATACCCATCATAGCAGGAAGAGTGGAGTTTTTTTTATCAAGACATGGGTAGTTTTTTATATTATTATTAGTAGATAAATATTAAGTATAAAAAAAAACACGACTGACATTTTTCCCCCTTCTCAGTTAATCACACTATTTTATGCTATGTATATAACAGAAAGGTTTTGTTTGAATATAATACCAGGATTTTAAAGGCCTCTTTGTATAGGTCACGATCACGATCATCCTGTTGTTCGTCGTTTGCCTCGAGCAGGCCCCAGTAACGTCTCCTTCGTCCTAGCCCTGAGATTTTAAAGTGCCATATTCAAGACCCTCTCAGGGTTAGGAGAATGAGACCCATCATTGTTACTGGTGTTTGGCGTATTGGGTACGCCACGGGGAGTTTGCCAGACTCTCTCGTGTGGGCAGGTTACATTCGGTAGCCTGCCAGGTTGTCCAAAGTAAGAATGAGATAATAAGATGTCATGCTGCCGCGAATGCGGCTGCACATTTCCAGGAGCTGGGTTTTGTAGTCTCTGGGTCTTGGCCATTGATGGGATTACACGGTGCCAGGCGGCCAGTTGATGGGTGTGACCCCTGCCTACTGGAAGATGGAGGATCTGGGTGGAGGATGCTCAGCCCTGATCCAAGCAGGCTTGAAGATCTCAGCCCTGGGACCCACATGCCTTTGTTCCTCTGCTGGTACCTTCATGCGTGTGGAGAGTGGTCTCAGCATGGTTGTGGCTAGTTCTGGAGGTCTTCAGCTGCCGGAGCTCTGCTCGGGGTGGGGAGGGAAACTCAACCCGCCCCCCCTCCAAGGGGCCCCAGTGAGGATATTTATATTGTATAGGTATTTTCTATGATTAGTAGTACTTTATTAATATGCTTGAAATTTCCTTCAAAAAGAAATTCCTTGTGTTGAAATGATAATAAATACATTTTATTGGGTGAGGAACCAGCTTTTGTGAAACTATCTTCTTCTGCTTTCATCTATAGGCTCAGTTATATGTCTTTTCTTTTCATTCCTGCTGTTGTACAATTCAAAGTTGAAACCAACCTTGTGACGAAACTTGCAAGGCATTCCAGGTGTTGGATTTTTCTAACCTAGAGGAATTTTGCAGAATCTGGGAATAACATCTTTTCATTTGGTCTGAATAAAGAAAGTATTTCAGTGTTATAATATAAATTGGTAGAATGTTAAAAACATACAACATGAACAATTTGGGGGTTGGGGAGGTAGCTCAGTGGTTCAGTGGTGCATACCTTTGCATGCACACAGATTTGAGTTTGATCCCCAGCACTGAATGCCCCCACCAAGTACCACTAAGTGTTGCTCTGGCGGCCCGCAGTCCTTTTGGCCCCGAGCAGCACTGTCTTCCTTTCAAGCCTGGTGTTAAACAGGCTCAGGTAGCTGAGTATTGCTGGGAGCGGGCCCTAGGCTTCTGGACACAGCTTGTCAGGCCCCATTTAAAAAATACATTTAGGAGTATAATTGAAAAACATGTTTCTCCCAGAGAAAACACCCTCTTTCAGTTTGCCTACTCTCAGTTGTACTATTTACTTTTATTTCCCTGTAAACACGTTATCTGAATGTTACCTGACTCCACTTTTCCCTTAGAAATCTTCTCTGTATACTGAAAGCAACCTTTTCTGGGCAACAAATTCAGCTTCATATAAAAGGGCTTCAGTGATTTATACATAATTTATGTCCATACAAAATACATACGTCATTTTCTCATATATATGTTGTATGTGCTTTTGTTGAAAAATAAAACACATACAACATATATATGTATATGTATACATATATATATACACAAACATACATACTTGATAGTCCTAAATTATAATGCAATGGAAACTTATTTAAATTTGACTATCAAAGTTTAATTTATTTACCACTTAAATTTTGTTTTAGAAATGGTCAAGGCAATATTCTTTTTCCCATTACATTACTATTTCATACACCTATTAAGAAATATGTGGCAAAGAAGCTTCTATTAGCCTTTTATTGTATCCAGGGTATATTCATATAATATTTATACTTATATATGTGTCATTGTTCTCTGCTTAGTGAATCCAACTAGGAAACCCATATATATAATAAACATGAATTATTCACAAAGATTTGAATTACTCTTAGTTCCAAATACCATCCCAAAATGCAAGGAATAGCCATAGACTGGAGCATTGAAGTATTTTTTAATTTATGCTTTATTTTGACTTACATGATCAAAATGCTAGTGTATTAAAAAGCATTGTCCTTTGTTTCAGCAAATTCACAATCTTTCCTACTTTCTTTTTCTCTGACAGATATAAGTTTACCAAAGTCGGCAACAATATGCTACACAGCTGCCTTGCTCAAAGCAAGAGCTGTCTCTGACAAGTAAGTGAATAATAACTTGCACGGTACTATATAAATGCCTGACCTGACTTGAGGAGATGTGTTTCCTCTGAGGGCTTTCTCTGGAAGTTTCTCTTAGTCTGTGAGACCCTGCTTGTGAGCGTGCATTTTCCAAAACCTGCTGATCTTTTCTTTCTCTACTGGAAGGAGGGAAAGTCTATCCCCAGGTATTTTGAGTGTATGGATCCCTCAGGAGAGATTTATTTGAAATTCCATGCCTCTGAGGTGACTCTTTCCTTTTTTCTCCTCTTTTTTTTTTTGGCCAGATAGTAGATACCAAAAGACCTGCTTGGGACTTAGACAAAATGCCTTCCTGTTCTTTTTTCCCCTTCTTCCTGTTCCTCCTCCTCCAGCAGTCCAAGACCGGGGAGTTGTCATAATAGTATGTGATCTGGTAGTGGGTCTGGTCATCACCCCATCATGGGCATTATCAGTTCCCAAACTAACTCCCTAGCCAGAGTCTGTTTATGCTGTATTGCTGTCTCAGTGGGACATTTGCCTCTTTTGCTCAGGCAGGGCCCTCCATGGACCCTCATGGTGACTGGCAGGTGAAAGGGACTCGGTGGTTTAACTGGGGTTTTTTTGGTTTTTAATTTTTCTTTATTTTTTGAGTTGATAAATGCTTCCACTTCCCTGATACCAGCTCACCGGAAAAGGAAACAGCCTCTGCTATGTCAGACAGGTTTGCTGTTAAGTGTGTGTGCACTTCAAGACCGAAGTAATTTTCTTTCATTCTTTTTTTTTTATCCTGTAGATCGCCAGTACCTACTGCAACATCTTTTCTCCCTACACAGCGACTCCAGCTTGGGAGGGCAGGGCCAGGGTTATCACAGCTTCCCCTGTGGTGTCTGCCTGCCAAGCACAGCTCTGGAGTTAGCCCTGGGTGTGAGGTGAGAAAGAGATTGCATGGTCTGGTTTTTTTCCATTCACTTGGGCAGGTGTCTCGCCCAGAGTTTGGGCACGCACACGACCCCCTGCCAGAAGGGCCCCACTCAGGCCCACCTGCTGCCCAGGCGGCCACAACTTAACCCTCTGTCACAGCAGCGCTGACAGTTGGGTCAGGAGCCTCCTCTCAAACTCGCCCCCCAGTTGGGTTTTTAACCAAGCGCCCTCTTCTGTAACCCAGACTCCTCTTTTTCCTATACTCTCTGCCCTCACCAGTCCGACTTCATCCCCTGACCTAAAAGCAGGCACCCCGTAGAACATTTAGATTAGCTACTTAGAAAGAGAGACTGGACAGCTAAATCTAACTCCTGCCTCCCTGAGATGCACACCCACTTCCTTGTTTCTGCTGGGGTTTTTGTTGGCCTCTGTCTGAGGGGTCACTCAGAGGTTCCATGAGGTGGAGGTTTGGAAAAGTTCATACCATTGGCTCGTTGTGGTTTTATGGGCCCTTCATGTGGAGATGCCTTTCGGGGTGGATGCCCACACAGTGGTCCCCACTGGATGGTGTTTTGTCTTTTTTCTGCTTTTCAGATTCTCTCCCGAGGCTGCATCTCGGCGGGGGCTGAGCACAGCAGAGATGAATGCGGTTGAGGCCATTCATAGAGCTGTGGAATTCAATCCTCACGTGCCAAAAGTGAGTCTGTGGAATCCCCCCAGGAACTCGTTACGATAGCAGAGAAAGTGTTCAGTGACCACAATGTCATGTCTTGAATACACCCAGTTATAAAAAATTGAAGAGCAACCAGCAGATGCTGGGGCCCTGTTTAGTCTGTGGTCATTAGCCTCGGTTTGAGAGCAAAAGCTACATTCAAAAGATTTTCAGACCTCACATAATCAGGGTAAATTAATAGATCTAGCTCAGGCGGGCCAGGTCAGGAAATCTGAAATTGGCAAAATATGGAGATCCCACGGGTGCTGATGCATTTAATAGGAATTTCACAGCAGTTAAAAATCTTCTTTAGACCCAACTTTGGAAACGGACCTTGTTGTGAATAAAAGTAATAAAAATTACTGACTAATGTGATATTCTGTTTCTCCCATAAATAAATGGTAGTTGATCCATATTGGTAAGAAAATAATAAGGTAAGCCCCAAAGCAGTATCTTTCTGATGGTGAGTGTATTTTGAGCAATTCTAAAAAATGATTTTCAGTGTCATTTTCATAGGCCTAGTAGAAATTCTGTATTTTGTCAGCCTTGTGATTGCTCAAGCTACAGGTACCAGTACTTTCTCTTTTTTCTGAATTTGATATTAAGGGCAGTGTATCATGAGAGAAGATATTTTTATAATCGTTCCTTCAGGGAATAGCATGTATTAGTAATTTACCTGAATGTCACTATGCAGGTGATCAGCACAGTGCTGAGGGCATGTTTTTAGCTCTCAGAGAGATATCCTGCAGCACATTTTGACCTCTTGAAAATAACTTCTGACTCTAACAACTACTTTTATTTATGTAATGTCTGATGAAGACTTTCATTAGTGAAAATGACTGTTAATGAAATGAAGGTCACTTTCTTATTTTGTTGTAGTACTGTAGCAAAAGTGTGTGTGTGTGTGTGTGTGTGTGTGTGAGTGAGTGGTATGTGCATGTGTGTGCACACACATGCACATGAAATAACTTACGGAGTTACACTCTTTTATTGTATAGCTTTTGGGCATAGTTTTTGGGGGACAGCATTTGCAGAAGGATGTATTTATCTATTTTTGTTTCAGTGAATAATGACCAACATATATATGTAGACTTAGGTACCATAATACATCATATAAAATATATCTCTTTAATATTGTTCAGCTAAACTATTTTCATTCAAATTTAATTAAAATATAAAACTAATCATGAAAATGACCTGAATTATGTTGAATCAAGCTCATCAATTAATATTCATTGAATGCAATGCTTTGCAGAGCTATTTTGTGCATGTAAGACTCTTTTAGAAGTGGCATTGGGCAATAAAGAGCTAGATTTCAAGACAAAAACCTAGGATTAAGTTCAGACTCTCATTTATTTGTAGACAATTAGAGTGTCACTTTACCCTTGGGAACTTGGACTTAGTGACTCTGAACTCAGACCTTTCCATCATCTTTCAGGTGACCAGAAAAATAATAGGTCTTACCTACCTCATATGATAAATGAAGCAATATATTTAGAATTCTTTGAAAATACTTGAGCTCCATCACTTAATCACTTAATCACTTAACTTCCCGTTAGTCGTCGATTTGCTCGAGCGGGCGCCAGTAACGTCTCCATTTGTCCCTGTCGCGTGCTAGTGTAGCCCAATGGCATCTCTTCGCTCCGGGAACATGGAGGGCCTCAAACCGATCGTTCATGACCTTGACAAAGAAGTCTGACCATCTGGTAGGTGGGCGGCCACGCGGTCTCTTGACATCCCGTGGAATCCAATCAGTAACAGCTCTAGTCCAACGGTCGTCTTTAAATCTCATTACGTGACCAGCCCATCTGATTTTCGACACCTTGGCAAATGAGACAGCGTCCCTGATCCTTGATCATCGACGGATGTCAGAACTCCGGATTCGTTCTCTCATTTGAGTGAAACGTGATATTCCAAGCATAGCTCTTTCTATTCTTCTTTGGGAGACCTGAATGGCGTTCTCATCTTGTTTGCGTAGGGCCCAGGTCTCTGAGGCATATGTTAATGCAGGAAGAACAGTGGAATCAAAGAGATGTGCCCGGAGCCGGAGGTTCTTCGTCCTCTTAGCTATTTCTTCGACGTTCTTGAAGGCGTTCCAAGCCGCTCTCTTCCTCCTGCGCAGCTCGGGTGCCAGGTCATTTGTCATGTTGACCTCTCGACCTAGGTACACATAGCTGTTGCATTCGGAGATGGTCGTTCCATTGAGAGCGAATGGGGCGTCAGGAACAAGGCTATTTCTCATAAACATTGTCTTCGTAAGATTCAGCTGTAGTCCTACCTTTCCACACTCACGGTCAAAGTCGGCCAGCATTTGTGCCGCTTGGCTGATGTTTGGTGTTATTAAAACAATGTCATCAGCAAAGCGGAGGTGGTGTAGTTGCCGACCATCTATCTTCACTCCCATTCCTTCCCATTCCAGTCGTCGCATGATGTTCTCGAGGGTGGCACTGAAGAGTTTTGGTGAAATGGTATCACCCTGCCGCACCCCTCTCTTGACATCAACGATCACTTCTTTGTAGAATGGTGAGATCCTGGTAGTGAATCCGCAATACAGCTCACGGAGGATCCTGATGTATTGGGCTTGTATGCCCTGATTGGCTAGGGCTTCAATGACCGCTTCCGTCTCAACAGAATCAAAGGCCTTCTTTAAATCAATGAACGTTAAGCAGAGCGGCATCTTGAACTCCCGAGAAACCTCAATGAGTTTGGTTATCGTGTGGATATGGTCGATGGTGCTGAATCCTTTGCGGAACCCTGCTTGCTCACATGGTTGTCCTTCATCTAGTGTTCTGCCAATCCTATTCAGGATGACTCGAGTGAACAACTTGTAGATGACAGACAATAGGCAGATCGGGCGATAGTTGCCAATGTCCTGGATGTCTCCCTTCTTGAACAGTAGTACGGTCCTGCTGGTTTTCCATTGAGATGGAACCTTGCATTCAGACAGGTAGCGAGTGAAGAGCCGAGCCAGTGTATTGATGAGTACTGACGGCAGGTTCTTCAGGTGTTCAGGTCTGACCTTGTCTGGGCCGGGTGCTGTTTGCTTCTTTACTGACGAAATGGCGTGTCGGATTTCGGAAGGGAGAACGTTGGGAACGACATACCCATCCTGTGGAATTTGGTATGTCGGCAAGTGGACATGGCTATCGAAGAGATTTGAGTAGAAGTCATGGATAATCTTCTCCATTGCCGTTCTGGAGGATGTGATGGATCCATCAGGACGTCGGAGGGCAGTCATCTTGGTCTTATAGTTGGCGAAGGACAGGCGGGCGTTACGAATACTTTTCCCGGCTTCTGCCGCATCTACCAGTACTTCTGCTCTTCTCTCTTTGAGGTCTTCCTTGATCGCATCTCTGCACTGCTTTGCAAGCTCGGACGTTAGCTTGCGGTTGCCTGAGGCATGCGCCAAACCACGCTGGCGAATTAGCTCAAGAGTTTTCGAAGATAGGCGACTTTTTGTGGCTATCTCTCTCTTGGCTTTCCTCGCACATTCATGGAGGTGCTGAACCAGTCGATCGTATTCCTCGTCAATGTTGTCAACAATGGCATCTTCCCATGTTGCCGCAATAGTACCAAAGAGTTCCCAGTTGGTGGTCGTTCTGGGAGTTCTCTTTTTGAACTTTGCAGCCCTTTCTCCCCGCTCTGTGAAGTAGAATTTTGCACGAAGGAGACGGTGGTCCGATCCCGTTCGAAATTTTGGGACAACAGCGACATCAGTCAGGCAAAACCGTCGATTGAATATGATGTGGTCTATTTCGTTGTGGAATCGTCCACCGGGAGACTCCCATGTCCATCGTTTAGATTCTGCCTTCTGGAACTGTGAGTTACCATGAATGGTCTTGGTCGACATGATGAACTCAGACAGTCTCTCACCCTGTTCGTGAGCTCCATATGTTTGTGAATTGTTAAAATTATTGATGTAGGGGCCAGAGCAATAGTATAGTGGATAGGACATCTGTCTTGCATGTAGCTAACCCGGGTCCAATCCCCGGTATCCCATGTGGGATATCCCGGTATCCCATGTGGTCCCCTAGCATTGCTGGGTGTGACCCAAAAAGTCAAAAAATAATAATAATTATTATTGATCCATAACTTCTCATACCATAAGATATTGAATATGACTCTTAACTTTTCTACACACAAACCTGAGTCTCATAATCTGGAGCATAACAGAAAAGAAGTGTAATGGTTGTTGGTTCGATATTTTTATTTGAAGTTTTAATTCTATAATATTGCCCTTTTTTTCTTTTTGGATCACGCTCAGAGATGCATGGGAATTACTTCTGGCTCTACACTCAGGAATTACTGGGAATTGAACCTGGGTCGACCACGTGCAAGGCAAATGCCCAACCTGCTGTGCTATCATTCTGGGGCTAGAGTGATAACACAGCAGGTAGGGCATTTGCCTTACACACGACTGACCCAAGTTCGATTCCTCTGTCCCTCTTGGAGAGCCTTGTAAACTACTGAGAGTATCTCACCCACACAGCAAAGCCTGGCAAGCTCCACATGACATATTCGATATGCCAAAAATCGGAACAACAAGTCTCAAAAGTTGCTGTGAGACGTTACTGGTGTCCGCTCGAGCAAATCGATGAGCAATGGGAGGACAGTGCTACAGTGCTATAATATTATTCTCAGATGGTTCCATTAGACAGTAATAATAGACTCAAGGAAAGTATTAAAACCCCCCTAAGAAACAGTTTATGCCTGCCATTGGAAAAAGAAATGAAATCAGTCCACCAGTACTCTGCCTGCAATATAGGATTCTCTTGAAAGAAGAAACATCTGAAGCATTGAATTCACTTTACATTCTGATTTTTTGTTCTAATTTTGGGGGGGCACATCTGATGGTGCTCGGGGCTTATTCCCAACTCTGCACTCACAGAGTACTCCTGGAGGGGCTCCAGAAACCATATGGGATGCCTGAACTCAGTTCAGCTGCATACAAGGCAAACCCTTACCCACTATTCTATCTCTATGAC